ACTAGCACATTATATTTTGCAAGGGACCATTTTCTGTGAATTTTTTTTAAAACTTTTTTCAACATACGCTAGAACACCAAGCAATCATCAAATATGGTGACTGACTCCCAATATTTAGGTAGGAAGTTGGCCACATTATACATACCTTCTTAAAATAAGCAAACTGGACAAGCTCAAGAGCCATTTCAGCATCCTGGAGATCAATGGTTTTGCTCATTCTAACTTTAGCATGAGCAGTGGCCAGTCTGATCATGGTTTCAAGTGCTCTAGCAGTAACAGGCATAGTCTGTTGAAGAGAACAAAATTAATTTTCTTTAAAATCCCTGAATACCAGTAAACGCCTGTGGGCAAGAATATGCGTGAAAAAGGACTATACTGACTAAAATCACCCCCCGTAGGAAAACAAAACACAAGTTGAGCACTAAGGGAGCTTGCAGTACATTTGCAGGCGGCAGATTAACTGCTAAAAAGCAGCTGCAATAATCAGCTACATTTACCATATTAATGAGAGTGTAAGCAAATTCAGAGCAGCATATGTATGTGCCTAGGCAGCTTTATACATAGGTCTCATAGCATTCTTGCATGTGCAAAGTCCTGAGAAAGAATTTAGGTTTTCAAAATCCTTGGGAAAAAAAAAAATGCAACCCTGAACAGTGGTCCAAATTGCAGCCTACTCCTACTGACTACAGGGGTGCTACGCAATTGTATTACTACCACTGCCAACCAAGCCTGAGGCATTATGTACTCCCATTGGCTAGTCTGACCCCTTAATGCCTAAAGGACGAAAAAAAAACAGGCTCTTTGTTTAGGTGGTTTGGAGACCCCTGGCTTAAGGCAATAGTGAAAAAATAAAATCATAAGTGGTGTAAAAAGTATACTCTAGCGATATCAACATACCCTCGCACGGTCATTATTCATTTCATCATGACTTCTGATTTTTGCATATTCATGAGAGATGAAATCTGCAGCCTCATGTGTCAGAGCAGGCTTTATCAACTTCGCAACATGGATATATTTCCGTATAAACTGCATGCTAACAATCTTTGCTTTGCTGAAAGATCAGAACAAAAATAATAAGATGCATGAACGTTACAAAAAAATTTAAAAAGGGAAAAAATCATCTGGCCCTAAATGTACACAACTATCAAAACCCCATATGAAAATAAAGTGTGAGGGGGCAATTTTTACAGGGTAGCACCTGCCATTGTAGTTTGCATAATTGGGCTTTGCTTCCCAGTTCCAAGTTAATGCTTGTACAATACAAAAGTCAGATAAGGGTGCAAACAAGTGTCTTTTGTAGGCAAGCATGCACAGTTATAATAATTTAATTGAAACCTGCACTAAGAGAAGTCTTTCATGGTTGCCAAACACTTTCTAAAGTCTTTTTTAGCTTTAAAGTATAAGATAACTTTTTTGTTTTGGACAAAGTAGAGATGGATTAGAGCACCTGTCAGGTTTTTATTGCCATCTCTGCCCCCATTAAAGATATTAACCCTCTCCATTTATCCTGTTTACCAGTATCAAAAGTAAAAAAAATCCCAAATCTTCGGTTGTCCCCAAAACAGTAATAAGAGGGTGAAATATTCCAATGGGGACTCTAGCTCTGGTGACCTGAAGGGCCCTAATGCATTCCCTTAATTTAGTTACTAAATTGAGGTACTAGAGCGAACAAGTGTTCAGCTTCTGATGATCGGCATACTTCCAGACTGGTAACTATTATTAAAGCCAGAGGATCAGGATCAAAGCCAAGGAACCACCCTTTATTAGGAGAAGTTGGCAGTGCAGGTTCTATACCAATAGCAGTTAAGGCTGCTCTTTGAAGCTTAATATGCAGTGCTGCAAAGTTCACTAGTCATCGTGATTTCATGTGTAAACATGTCTACAAACTGGAGGGAAATGGGCAGAAAAGCAGCAAATTTTGCCTTACTTGAACAATTGTGTCAGAAAATTGCAATGATTGTAAATTTCCCTAGCCCCCACAGAAAACAAAAAATTCTAAAAATGACTAAGCCTGTTTGACAAATTTTGAAATCTCGTAATGTTTAAGGAACAGCCCAGCTCAAACAATGAACCAAAACTACAGATAATACAAGTCAACTCATCTAATCTACAGACTTTTTTTACGTGGTCCATGAAGGAGATGATCATGTTTTTCATAGATCTGCAACTCCTGATCTGTCACGTCACTGGCATTTGGGTCATCTGTAGCAAACATCTCAACACTGCACCCAAGAGGCATTGCTGTTAAAATATAAAAAAAAGGACTTTTTGCTTTTCAGCACAAAAAAAAAAAAAAAAAAAAAAAAAAAAAAAGGATTTAAAGCCAGGATCTATGCTATTTTTACAATAAAGTGATTGCACAACAGAACACAGCAAATGCATTATCAATTATGCTATGAAATAATTTAAAACATACCATAACCATCCTGTTCCCCAGGAGTTCTGTATCTGTGTATTCGCAGTACATGGTCTGCAATTTCACGGTCATTGTCTGCATCCATTTGATCCAGAACAATAAAAAGCAAATCAAATCTTGACAGCAGTGAATCTTGTAAGCCAATGTTTTCCATAGGAGTCCTGTACTGATCATACTGGAGAATATATAGAACAGAAAAGTGTTAGAAAAGCAAAAAAATATTTGGTTAGCAGTATTCTCCTATTTTTATTTTGTAAATGTAGGAAAAAAAACTACATCACTACATAGACCAATACAACAAAAATGTTAAAAGCTGAACTCTGGGAACGAAAAACCATTTAGCCTTGTAGTGGGTCACCCCCTCCATTGCGAGAGTTAAAATATTTATAAAGGGTTTTTTTTATTTATTTTTTTATTTTTTTTAACACACAAACTGGTCATACTTACCTGGACTGTGCAATGGTTTGACCAGAGAAGCCCTGTTTCCTCCTTTTCTCAGGGTGCCCTGTCAGCATTTTTGGCCCCTGCCAAGTGTCCCCATAGCAAGCCGCTTGCTATGGGGGCTCTCGTACAGGCTCACTCCCAAGCCAGCGTTGTGTCCATAGACCGAGCATTACACAACTCTGCCCCTCATTCCCTCCTTAGTGGCTGTTATTGACAGCAGTGGGAGTCAATGGCTTCTGCTGCGGTCTCTGAGCCAGTGAGGAGGGAGAGAGCAGACAGAGCCTCAACCCTTGTGCACATCGCTGTATCAAGAGCGGGCTCAGATAAGTATAAAGCGGAGTTCCATGCAGAAAATGTTTCATCCCTTAATGCATGGAATGCATTAAGGAAAAAAAGCCCCCCAAAAAAACTAAAAAACTTGCTGCTTTCAGAACCACTTTAACAGCTCCTTTTGCCTAGAGAAGAATAAGTTAAATTCCTTACCCTGGAATTCAGCTTCAACACTGCAAAGCTGGAAAGCCACTTGCAGAAATCCTTTTACATAAGTGAGTTCTGAGCATATGAAAACATGTTCCCAACAATATAGTAATGGGGGAATTTTTTCAGTAAACCATTTGGAAGACTGTCCCATGGAACCTACCCTTCCATAGACTGGATTTGCAGCAGCCAAGACACTGCACCGAGCGTTTAGCCTTGCTTGAATTCCTGCTTTTGCTATGGTTACCCGTCCTTGTTCCATCACTTCATGGATGGCAGTTCTATCCATGTCAGACATTTTATCAAACTCATCAATACAAACGACACCCCTGTCAGCCAGAACCATGGCACCAGCCTCCAAACGCCTCTCTCCTAGAAAGCCAGAAAAAAAAAAAAATATTCACTCTAGGATATAGCATAATTAATTTTTTAGCCCAAGAAGATCTTATTCTATAAAAATGTTTTAAAAACTTGACTTATATTGAAAGCCAGATAAAGTTACAAAATAGATAGTGTTTGTATGTACATGATTTTCACATTTTTAACATTACTTTAATGTCAAACTGCAGAGTGTCCACATATGACTCAGTCCAAAAAGCAGCAGACGTTCCACAATGCCCAGTATAAGTTATCAAACCGTGTCAGATATCCATTCGCAAGACAATTCTGTGCAAAGGTTTGTGATAGGGGATGCCAGTATGCCTATGCCAGCATAAAGCACTGTAGCAGGAGGTCAAAAAGCACATTTCTAAAAGGAAAAAGGGGTATTTGAAAGCTCTTTTTTTTTTTTTTTTTTTTAACCAAAATCATTTACAAATATATGGTGGGTAAAGAATTATAAAGAGAAAATGCATGAGACTTTAACCTTCAACCTACCTGTGTGTTCTCTTTCCCAGAGCTGCTATACTGTGTTTAAAAGGGCAAATTATCCCACGTGTTGATGCAGGGAGTCAGAGTTTGGGGTAAAGACTCTTTCTTCCCTAGCTCTTTCACCAACGCCACAGCGATATTAACTCTTCCAAACTGGCATACGTCCCCTCTTGTTACTATAGCCTTCCATTTGCTTTCCCCAGCCTCTGCTCAGTGTTTAACAAACATCAGTTTAATATGTGAAGAGAAACTACAGTCACTTGCCGGTTTCCTGGTCGGTTGTCACTGCTGCGGTCAATCCCACTCCAGAGGATCCTCTACCAGTGGTGGGAATTGCTCTAGGAGCGGTGTGCAAGACATATCGTAAAAGCTGAGATTTGGCAACAGAAGGATCTCCTAGAATGTTGAAATGAACTTTACCATGGCTAACATTTTCCAGAAACATGTGTAATCATTTCTATTGTGCTTTTACCTATTAGTAGAACATTGATGTCTCCTCTTATACGTGTTCCATTTTCAAGAACCTTTTCATTTCCTCCAAGCAGCATGCATAAAATGGCTTTCTTAATATACTCATGACCATGAATGCTGGGAGCTAAGGATTTGCTCAACTGGTCAAAAATGTCCTGCAATAAGAACATGAGTAAAAAAAAAAAACAGAAAAAAACATTGCTATCACTAGCTGAAAGGGTAAGATCTGATCTTCTATTACCTTAGAATGAGCTTTACAAAACTTCTTGATCTTCCCTACATCGTTAGCTGAAAAGGTTGGGGCAATTTCTTTGCTCATCAGTTTTTGATGTTGTTGGCTAACAAGATTGTCCTAAAATAGCAAAAAAAAAAAAAAAATCTAGCATTTAAAGTGGAACTTTACCCATAAAAACTTGATAAATGTTCTTTGGCAAAGAACATACATTCCATTAATTATGCTACCAAAATTAGTGTGTGCTGTAAATTGTCTCCAGCATTGTTCCGGTTTCTTCTTGCTGGAGGCTGCCATTTTGCTGAAGCCTAGAGCCCCTGAACAGCATTAAATCTTTAGGCTGTCACCAGACTGGCCTCTAAAAATTGGATACAGTGCCGGAAAATAGAGTGCACTTGAGCATGTGTATTACTGGATTTTAAACCATATAGGCACTTATTTTTAATGTTTTACATAGCTGTACCTGCAAAAGAGGCCAGCCTGAAGTTATCTAGCAGGACTTAATTATCTGACTAAAATTCCACTTTAAAGCGGTTATAAAGGCATATTTTTTCTAAAAACAACATAGTATACTTGCTCTGTGCAATGATATTGCACAGAGTGACCCTTTACCTCCTCTTTTGGGGTCCACCACTGGTGCTATCCACCGTGCTATGGAGGCACTAATGTGGGCAAGCTTCCAAGCCAGGCTGTGTGTCCATAGACACAGGGTGGCTTGGCCCCACCCACTCCCCCACAGAACTTTGTTCACAGCAGCAGAAAGCTAATGGCTCTCAGTGCTGCCTCTGTGTCCTGTGAGAAAAAGGAGAGAGCAATGCTGCTGAAGATGGTCAGAGCACAGGATTGAGGGAGGAGCTAGGTAAGTATTTAAAGGGGGACGGATCATGGAAGGTTTTGCAGAGAATGCAGTAAAGGTAAAAAACCTTATGCCTTTAGAACCACTTTAAAAACAAAAAGGCCTAACAAACGGGATAAAATGACAAGTTGTACAAGGTGTCCAGTTTATTAAAATGTTAAAGTGTCACTAAACCCACAACAGTACAATCAGTCTGCATATGCAGTAAAGCATGCTTGTTATGCTTACTGTGGAACCTAAGGGCTTAATCCTCTGCATTGTGTAAAAAAGTTGTTTGATTCGGTCTTCTCTGATTCTTCCCTTCTACACTGCCCAACCCATCTACTGATGTTAGGGAGCCTTGTGGGCAAGCTGCACAAGCTCAGTTTGGTGTGTATTGCTAGAATTTTCTTTTGGGAGAGTACATGTGATCACTATAGGGCCAATAAGCGCTGTCTAAACAGAACACTGAGGGTCCTGCAGCATTATAGGACAATCAGAGGAGAATTAAACCTTCTCCTACAAGCTTTAACCTGTGCTCTGCTGGACACTGATAGAAGTCACAAAACTTCTCTAACTGCTGATGAGAAAAGGTATTAAGCAGTTTATATGTACTAAAATAATTGCATTTCCACGTTGTGTGTACTGTGGGAGACCAGATATAGTGAATGCAGGGTCCTGGGCTAAGTAACACTAAGTGATGTTTGCATTTTTATTATGGCCAGGCCTAAAAAAATGTTTTAACATTGGCTTTTTTTGTCAGGTAATAATGAATAACTGAATATGAATTTTCTGCATGGTTATGTTTAGCCAGCAGTTAGAAGCCTTTTGTTTCTTACCTCAAATAAGTTGCCTACGAAGCTCAATAGTACATGCTGAACATTTACTCAGAGTAAACTAGTCAGCAGAGCTTATCCCACTCTCACCATACCATTCCAAGCCAGCTTGCTAGCCAAGATGAAGTTCTACAGCTTTAACAATTATTTGGACTAGTCATTAGAAAGTTGGACTTCTCAGACTTTCATTTTACCATGATTTTTTGCCTTTAGTATTGAACTAGACAAATAGCACTATTAACGGGTGGCCAGCAATGAGGGTAGGTCAGGACCACTGCAGAGAATTAAGAGTGCCAATGAAAATGCTGGCCTTGGTAATCCAGAGAACAGCTCATTTCTATAGCCTGCACTCTCCATGGAAAACAGTTACACTTAGGTAAGCAGAGCTGTAAAACGTATTCATCCACAGAGCAATTGAGGCACCTGATAGCTCAAAGCCTGTATGTAACCTAAATGTACAAACCTGGTTCAAATGTGAGAAGGTTTTTAGAAGCAAAAGTCAGAAGTATGGAAAAAGCATTACAAAAAAACCACCACACACCTAGATGGCTGCGGCACCAATCCCATGGTATCAGTAGATGGAATGGTGCTTCATCACTGGTGTCAGTTGGTGGAATAATGGCCAAAGGGCCAGATAAAGGCAAGCAAAGGGCCACATCTGGCCCCCAGGCCACAATTTGGAGACCACTGCCCTAAACTCATAACAATAGGCATAAAACATTTAACACAACCTACACCTAAAGCAGTGATCCCAAATATTTTACATTCATAGAAAACACTGATTCATAATATTAGACAAGCATTACCATGCAAGTCTCCAAAATAATGAAAAAACAAAAATGTTCTTGCTTTCAAATGTTCTAAAATCACTCCAGACTGACATTCTCAGGACAATATTCTTTGCCAATCTAATCATTCGTCACAAATCAGCATCTTTCTGGCCACTATGGAAAGGCTTTAATACAAGAGGAGCAAGGAAACCGAGAACATTTGTCAACACTGCTGACTAGAGATCATCTTTATTCAATCCAATGAAAGATCTGACTGCCTATGGGCAACTGTTCCACTTCAAGGATCCTTGCTCAAGTTTTATCCATCCACCCCAACATGGACAAAAATAGGAACTGGAATTCCTGAAATCAGATAGTTGCTTGTCCTAATACTGCACATCTTCAGAACCTAGTAACTTCAGAAGAGAAGTATGAATACAGAGAAAAAGTGAATTGCTTTTAAGTGCAGGTAAGCCCATCGCAAAACACTAAAAAGAGCATGAAAATGGTAAAAGCCCAGGTTTGTTAAGTTTATCTGTAAGAGCATATTCACACTTGTCTGTTTTCCTGCAATAAAATATTAGATTTATAATTTATGCTAAAATGGATGATGACCCTAGATGCATCTCATTTTTGTCCTGCAACAAAAAGGTGGCATTTCACGTCAAATCTTTTTACCTGAATGTACCAGATGTGTACCCTCCCTGCTTGGAAGGAAGACAGCGATATATTCCCACTATCTGAATGCGATCACCCGGTTTACACTTGTCCACCAAGTCATCATCAGCAATTATATCTATAGAGCGAGGGAGCTGTCCTGCAGGGGCTTTTTCTGGCATCTCCTGTATAGTCAGAGTCTGGTGATCCTTATAGGTACTCAGCCCATATTCTGTCTCCAGAGGATTATTTTCTTCATCCTATCACAAACAGAGAAGATATTGTTTGTAATCAGCAGAGCATCAGGCTGAGCAGCGGGCACACAACCACTGAGACAGGCTGATAGGCAGAACATGACAGTAAGTCTAGTGACTGTTAGTAAGAATAGGGTGGACATCATATGATGGAAATACCAGGCATTTCCAAGGGCATTGACAGAGGATTGGGGGGGAGCACTGCATTGGCAACAGCGGGAGAAGGCAGAGGCGGACTGACAACTCATGGGGCCCTGGGCAATAGGGGATCATGGGGCCCCTGTGTCCTTGCCCAAACTCAAAAAAGCCTATGAAAAAGGTACCAGGGGCATCTCATGGGGCCCCCTACTGACCCTGGGGCCTCGGGCAGTGCCCGAGTTTCTAAATGGTCAGTCCGCCCCTGGGAGAAGGTGGTGGGCTGTCAAGAGAATGCATCACTCTAAAATGTATTATTGTTGTATACTGCAACATGTTTAGAATTTAATCTTACAAGATTAGCAAAAGCTCATTTTAGGCAGTGGTGCCATTTTATTTACACATGCCTTGCTTGAAAGTGTGCCTTACGTGTTTCTTGCACCAACAAAAACAGATGTCGGGAACTCCCATGTACTTGCTCCAACAATGACCTACCTTAGTGGGGTAAATTGCATTAGACGGAAATGCCTCCAAGGTGGTAAGATCAGAGTATTTCCTCTCCAGAGTTTTCTTTGTAGCTGGGCAGTAATGAACACTTCTCATGACTTTAGGTCTTACCAAGGAACCTAGAATAAAACATAAAAAAAGATGAAACTATACAAAGCACACCAAGGAGAACATATGAGGAAATCCCCTCCAGACAATTTATTAAGGACCAGCACGGTACACCAAGCTGCCTTTACTGCTGCACATATTTAGCATATAAAACAGTGTATACTGTAATTACCGTGCAGAGCACTTATATAGCCATTTCTCCAATATTTTACAGCCTTTGGTAAAATGGTTTAGAAATAAAAACTGCATAAGGATAGTACATGACTACTTTATCCATCTAAAGATTTGAAGAATAGAAAATAGAAAACTATTACAAGTTACCATGTTCTATTACATTCCATAGTTTTAAAGCAAACCCTGAAGTCTCAAAACCAGTGCTCCAAAGCAATATAGGCACCTAAAAGGTAGCTATAGCTTCTTTAAGAATCACATTGCTTCTCAGAAAATGTGTTTAAAGACAAACTTTCAACTAGCAGGTCTGTGCTTTGACCCACCTGTTTTCAGCTACTCCACCTTGCTATTGGTCAAAGAGACCAACAATCAGAGATGGGCCAATAATGAGATGTGGAAGAAGCAAAAGTATGTCAAACACTGACTTCCAAGTGCCACAGCTAAAGTATTCATGGCTATGCCAGAATTCACATCAAAGTGAAATGCCAGTATAGCAAGTTCATCATCACTACTTGTCCCAGCCTAGCCACAAAATTTTGATCATCCCTATGATCTCTTGAAACCTCTATGGATAACCATTTTCATGGTGCATGGTATAGGACGTCTTTCCATTTTACAATGTTTTGCTTGGCTTTCACAGATTAAAAGAATCTGAGACATCCACACAAAACAGTCAAGAAAAAAAGGGCAGGATAAACTATGTGCTCCAAAAACAAATTAGCTAGAGGCAAAAAAAAGATTGAAAGCGAGATGGAAAGTACTTTTAAATATGTATATATTCAAAATAATAGAGGTTACCAATATACTGAAGCAGACACCAGCTTTTTAAAGATATATCCCTACATTTTTACACTGTTTTGTTTCTTGAAATTCCAAGCGCTTCCTAAAACTGGCCATACATGGTTCATCTTTTGCTCAGCCAGTGGGTTGTAAAAAAAAAAAAAAAAAGGAACCTAACCAATGTCCCCATCCACACAGTTGAGGTGAGTGGGGGAATCCTCCTGACTGTGCCATTGTATTCTGACAGCAGGGAGACTATTCTGCTGTAAGAACAGATCGGCACTGCAGCTGCTGATGGTATGGCTTTTATCCAACAGTGGCCACGCATGGATCAAAATTCATCCGGTCCCTGAAAACCAGGCAAATTTTGATTCATCTATTGCCACCTTAAAGAAGAACGATAGGCAAACTTTAGCCATTGTGGATAGGGATAGTTATAACCCCAGTCAGTTTTTTGCCAGCTGTACCCCATTGGGCCAACTTACCTTCACTTCCTGTCCCATAGCCAAAACAGGAAGTGAGAGGAAGTCCTTTGCCCCTTGTCACAATATAGGTGCTCTGCCAGCCCCAATTATTAATTCTCTCATTAATCCCATGTGCCCAGAAGAAGTACATCCTCAATTAATGTCCCACTCTCTTATGCCAAATGCTCCCAACTTCAATGTACTGCCTCCACTATCATCCTGCTTTATGTTCCCAAATTCAATTAATGCCTTTCCTCCCCTGCAATAATGCATTCCGACCCAAACTTCGTTAGACAATGTCCTCTCTGTCCTGGGGGGGCCAAAGGGGGGACCGCATGCCAGCTCTGCCTGAGACCCCAGCCAAAGGGGAGACCGCACACACCAGCCTGCCTGAGACGCAGCTAAGGGAGAGACCACTCGCCTACTCCGGACACAAACAGGTACCTGTGTCATACTACCTTATCCCTGGGAGACCGGGCACCCTGTCAGATTCGTGAGCGCATGCTTTCCCGTTTTACCTGAACTGTTCCCGTTACCTGAACTGTTCCTGCGCTGCCCCCCTACCCCCCATTGGATTACAATCTGCTACAGAGACTTTTCCTTTGCCCTTGGGGCTGGACTACAAGTGCTTTAGCCCTCTTCTTGCTTTTCCCCTATTGGCGAGATCGCCTTCCCTGCAATCCCCCCATTGGGTGACTTTCATTTTTTGTCTCAATAAAGCTTTGTGTGTTTGCCATTCGCTGTGTGTTCTGTCCTGCCTACCCTCCGTCACACCCCTCCACCCCCAAGTCACCAGAACTAGTTTCCCCATTTTTCTTAAGACAACCCACAATTTGAGATTTTATTTTCATTTTCAATGATAATGGTAAACAGGACAATGAGAATGAATCTCCCTACAGGGCACAGACAGCAATAGAAACCTAATAGTGTTCAAACACATTCTACTCTATCAAACTAAAAAACAACTTTGCCTTCAGTTTACCTTAACTCTAGTTAGGAGGTCCAACCTGCCCCTCTACTCTGACAAATCCGACAACCGCTATGAAAAGATGGACTTCTAACGGCAATCAATCTCAGCTCAGAGCACTTTCCCAGGACAAAAGGAATGCAGAGTGAGGGGGAATAAAAGTCTATGCATGCCTCTTGTGTCAGGAAAGTGCTCTCAGCCGTGTCAAGCTGCTGTTTTTAATGATTCTGTTCCTTCCTAGCTGTTGGATTTGCTGTGAGGGGATTGGGGGCAACTCTGATCCCATAATTACATTTGGGAAACACATAGTAACATTGGACTACATATACTTGGCCCTATGAGGGGCATAGCAGTGTAAAAAATTGTAGTGATAGATCTTTAAATACATCCAGTCCACAATCAGAGAACCAACCTCCTGGGTTGAACACTAATTCTCTGAATTATTCACAGAAAGCAGTAAGAGGAAAGGGGGGGACATTTACATTTTGTTACAATTCCTTCAGCACAGACTAAACTTCCCAAGAAGCCAGATGTCAAAGTACGAGGAGACACATGCTTTCCTCCAAAGCTGCCTTCAAATCCCACACTGAACTCTTCAAACTGCTTGGCATACGTGGCATCAATTGAAGCTACAAGGTCTTTTAACGCTCTTTGAAAGGCGATAACCTCTCCAAACGCATTACTGAGCAATCTGTGTAAAAAAAAATAAAATCTTTGAATGCCAAAAGTATAAAAAAGTAAAAAAGCAATGTCAGAAATTATATTAAAGTCATTGGTACACCAGTAAAATACAAAATTGTTAGAGATATAGAAATGGATAGATGCACTTTTCATGGCCATTTATGATCGTAGCCTCAGTTATGTTAGCATAAACTTGTCTAATCATTTTACCAATATAGACAGACTGCATTATTCAATAGTCAAACTGAACATTATCCAGAAATTTCCAGTAACAATTCCCAAGAATAACATTTATGCAAAACCTAGATCTTCTGTTTAAGGGGAGCACAACTAAATGTGGAAATTGTCCTGCCTTCTCTGCAGTTATGAAAGGGTTACAGAGGGTAACAGGCAGTATAACCTTTGATGTCCACACAGTAAAGAGTCGATGATTGATAACCGATGATCTTTTACTGATAACATGTGATCATAGTACATGAAATATGAATGAATGTAAATGCGCGTGAATAAATGGTAAAACTGAAATACAAACAGAATAAACAGACATGAGTACATATCTAACTACCTAGCAATATGCACATAAAATACTTCAGTACATAGGAGGGTACTTACAGACTTTGGGGGTCTAATCAAGCCCATATATGAAGAGAGAACAGCATCCCACATCTACTTGCATAGTAGAATTTCTTCAGTCTGAAGAGAGATAGGTCACTTCCTCCCAAGTTAGCAAACAGGAAGTCTCTGGCCTTAAGGGGACAGACACTGCTGAATGCTAAAGAATGCCTTGTGTAATACAAGGCAGCACACTCCCCACCTGGCATAATAATGATATGCCACTATTAAACTCTTGGAAGGAGTAAAACGACTTCCGTGATGGGTCTAAGGTACACCTTAGGGGTGCCCCGTTTTACTACTCTGACCTCTACTTTCCTGACTCTGCTATCACTACTAGCATCAGTCCCCACAATGAGTCCAATTGGCCACTCGTTCCTGTGGGCCTGAGAGTCTTTTAGTAGAACAACATCTCCAACTTGTAAGTTGGGCTTGTCGGCTTGCCATTTGTTGCGTGGTTGGAGGGTCATCAGGTACTCCTGTCTCCATCTCTTCCAGAAGATATCACATCTGATAATGGTGACATTGGCTTGCTCAAGATAGTCATTGTTACCCTGGTCAACACTGGCTGCTGTTTTGCTGAAGGATCTGGCCAAGCAGATGAGTTTCCCTATGGCACGGATGAGTGACTTCCAGCTGGAAAACCTTTCGAACCTACATGAGCCAAGACCTTCTCTGGTGGTTAGAGTCTTGTAAACTGCAACTAGAGGTCTTACCTCTTTGTCTTGGTCTGGTTCTACAAGCTGAAAAGTTCCTTTCTGATCAGTCTCTTCAGTTTCTGGTCCAGTCAAGAAGGATGGACCTGTGAACCAGTTAGTCTGTTTGAGGACAGCAGCTGGTACCAGTCTAGTCCCATGGTCAGCAGGGTTCTTGTCTGTACTGATGTGATGCCACTGTTCTGGACTTGTACACTTTCTGATACGTGTTACTCTGTTTGACACGTATGTGTAGAATCTTCTTGAAGCGTTGTGGATATAACCTAAAACAATCTTGCTGTCTGTGTAGAAGTTCACTGCATGGATCTCGATGTCCAGTTCCGCAATGAGTAAGTCTGCTATCTCCACAGCTAGGACAGCAGCACAAAGTTCTAAGCGTGGGACCGTGTGAGCAGGTCTTGGAGCCAGTTTGGACTTTCCCAAGATGAATCCTGCATGGCTTTGTCCCTGAGTGTCTATGACTCTAAGGTAGGCTACAGCTGCTATAGCCACGGTGGATGCATCTGAAAACACGTGTATCTCTCTTCGTTTTGTAACAGACAAAGAAACAGAGACGTATGGTCTTTGGATGCTAAATCGCTCAAGCTCCAGCAAAGAGTCTTTCCACAACTTCCACTGCATT